TCTATCTATCTATCTATCTATCTATCTATCTATCTATCTATCTATCTATCTATCTACCAACCAACCAACCAACCAACCAACCAACCAACCAACCAACCTACATTTTAGGTAGTTTGGGGTTTTCAGTGACAATGGTGACTTCTCAGGTCTTGCTAGACCACAGTATGGCTTGCTTGGCCTTCGGGTTAGTATGGGAACAAAGGTTAATGTGTCGAACTAGGACAGGAGAGACTCAGGTTCAAGTCTATCCTTGTCCATCAAAACTCACATGGTGACTAAAGGCTCGGTCTACTTTCTGGGATTGCTGTTGTGGAAATACAGTGAAGGGAGGTACACCTGGATCCCACTTTGAGGTCGTGAGGAAAGGTGGGATATAAATCTAACAATCAAATGCTGCAATGTACGAACCAAAGCCTAGTGGTTTATGAAGTGTAATGTGCAGCTTGATACATTGTGTGCACCAGAACACTATGGCTTGTCCAACAAACTGCTGGTAAAATAAACTATCGTTCAGTATGATAAGAGGCAGAGGGCTGTAAAGGCCATAGAGAAGTTTGAAGAAAACAAAGTGGGGTGCTTAGTGACCATCAAGAGCCAGGATGTCTGCAAAAAATGGCTTTGCCATTACCAACATTGCAAATGCAGCATTTCAGGACATTCCATCTCCACAGAAAGCTATAAACCATGCTAAATTAAGATTCCTCCTTCTTTGACTTTTCCTAACCTAGGAAAGACACAGCCATTGGAACTGTTCATCCCCTTGGCCTGCCCTTTCTGTACCTTCTCCAGCTCTTTCCCCGCCTCTCCACTTACTCCCTGCCTTGTCAGAACTATGAAAGTGGGAGAAGCAGGGGCACTTTGAGCAGCCTGAAGTCTGTGGGCCTCTCGTTGAAAATGTGTGCATGTCTTGTAAATCTCACTCTGAGAACTGGCTAGGGACAGGACTGGAGCAGACAGCTGCATAGCTAATTTTAGCTTCATGTAAGAAAGCCAGGGCAGGTTTAAGTCTTGGCCGTAGGAGAGGGAAGGGAAGGAGGCGCTGAGTTCACAGTAAAAGAATACAGTTTCTATCTGCCCCTTGAGGCTTTCCAAGTAGATGCAGATGAAAGGCAGCCTTCCTGAGTAGCAGTTTGTGATCTGGTACCTCAACACCTTCCTCCATACCAGAGATTGCTAACTGAGTTGGATTTCTTCCTCCCAAAGCAAATGTATCGGCCCCATAGTAATATCCCAAGCTCTCTCATTCAGCATCTTCCAACCTAATCCAGAGCCTTATCATTCCAGTAGAATGATCCTAATGCCCATACTAGATTCTCTATCATCCTTTTCCCCCTTGGGGAAAAGGGGCAGTTGGAATGGTTTCTACAGCTTAGTTTTTTATCTTCTCTTCTCACCAACTCAACTCTCCCCTCACCAAGAGTCTCTTCAGCTCTGGAGTCTTTTCAGACACTTTGTTGCCCAAAGATTTACTCAAGAGAAAAAGCAAAATGGTTTGAACTACATCTCTTGTAGTTCAGATATGAAGTATATGCTGGTCTTTGACCGTAATAAAGATTTGATATGATTTGATATTAAGTATAGCCAACGTACTATTATGGAAATGTATTTATTCTGTTGTTTATCAACATTATGTATAGACCCCTTTTCTATCTTAAAGCTGGAGGGATCATTTTTTCTGTTCCAACACAGCACTGGGTAAGCATTCCAGCAACTCCAACAACCCCATTTGTTTGTCACCCTCCCTGTCTTAAAAAACACAACACAGTTGCTTTTTTATGATTCAGTTTGTAATTTAGTTATGCTGATTTTACAAGTGTTCTGGTTTGGTTCTTAGCAATTATGCCAAAATGAGATACAGAAGAAATGTTTAAATAGCTACTTAGAGTATTTACATATAATATTAAAATGTATATTTATATAAAGAGACTTTTTTAAGAATCATAAGTGAATGCAGAAACAGATTTGAATTTATGGGTTAAAAACAAGTAGCAAATTCCTTCGTTTCTATTTTCCATCCAGCAAAGAAAGAGAAACAAACATAGGATAAATTCACAAGGCAACATCAGTCCATTTCAACAGTTAACATCCAAATTACTCTAACCTTCCAGTATTTCATATCAGATCATTCAAGGGAAAGGTTGCAGCCAAGTGGTAGAGTTTATGCTTTGCATGCAGAAAATCACAGATTCAATCCCTAGCATCTCCAGGCACGTAAGATAAAAAATGAGAATTGCCCTGCACAAACATCCAAAGAGCCTACGTGGTCCAGCAACGTGGGACCCACAGTGGCTAAGCAAGTTGATTTGGGAGGCTCATAAGCACAGACACATAACTCTCTTCCCATCAACTCCACCAGATAGTATTTAAATTATGCTGCCAGGATCCAAGAGGAAGCATAGAGCATCAAGAGCCATGGAGAGTCTTCCTTTTTTCTTTTATCCACATAGAGTTTCATGCTTTGGCTTCCTTTGGATTGAGGCCAGAAGATAAAATACTCTATTCATCCAGACTACCCCAAACACAGCAGCTGGTAGCTTTCTTCCCAATCTGACATGTCTAAAGGTGTATTTTATGAGTTTCTCAGCTTACCTTGTTGTGATGGTATGCTTCTTGGTATATGGTGTGATAACGTGGAAAAGCAATTCCATCGCTCCATTAATGCCCAACATAGTTCCTACTGAAACTGCAATGAATGAAAAAGGGGAAAAGTAAGCTGAGAACATGGAACCTGGGAAATGATTTCTGGGAGGTGCAACAGAAAGAGGTGATGTGCAATTGCCTGCCTGCTTTTTGACTCTCTCCAAAATCTTCTCTCTAACCAGTCCTGAGAAATCTCCACAAATGGAAGAAGCATCTGTATTGGCTTAAAATCTCTTTTCACCACATCCACTGCTCCATCTCTTGAACCATGGGCTTTCAAACTATATTTTAGTTTCCAAAGCTGGCAGAACTCTGAAGGTACACTGTCCAGCACCAAAACCAAGGACTCAGCATAGATGGTGCCAGTTGTCACTCTAGGGCTATGAGTGGAGGGATGGGGTGGGCAACGCTGACAAGCAAAGTGTCAACTAACTCATGGTCTGTCAAAAATTTTAACACCGAGCCATACATCCAGCTTAGCAGAGGGAATCAAAGATCTGAAAGAAGCCATTTAGACCCAAGAGCAATGCAGGAATTAAATTAAACCATCCTAGACAGATAGTTGTCTAACTTCCACTTGAACAGATCCAACGAAGGAGAGCCCACCACTTCTTTGGATAATTGGTTCCACTCTTGAACTGCTCTTGCCCTCCAGAAAAAAAAATTAAGTCCTTAAACTTGTATTTAAAACGTCTTTCGCTACGGATTGAAGGAAACTCACCCAGTGCTGTAAAACCTGTTGATCCAAAGGTTCCTAATAGCTGAGAAGCAGTTAACAAGCAGTTTCCAAAAGTGATTAGAAAAGGAAGTATGCGAACTTAGTGCCCTTTCAAAGGCACCGACCGCAATTTGAGCAAGATGGCTTTTCCGTCATCTCCCAGAGCTCTAAACCTGCTGGAGACTGCTGTCTTGCAGTCTCCTCCCAAGGAGCAACTATACAGAGCACTTGTGGGTGATCTCAAGTCCTCTCCTTCTCTGGAGAGGAATTACAAAGAGCCAGTCTACTCACCAGCTCTTCATTCTACTGCAGGTGTCAGTTCTGCTTTTAGTGGAGCCATCTGCAGTTTGCCATTTTTTCCCTGGAAGTCCCCGAATTGCTCTTGCTGTCAAGGTAGTTTTTTTTTTTACTAACATTCAATAGGAATGCTCCTTTAACTTAAATCTATTATTCTGTGTCATGCTCTCTGGAGCAAGGGAGAACACCTCTTTCTAGGTGACATCCTTTCAGGTATTTAAAGAGTGCTAACATTCCCTCCTCAATCAACTTTTCTTAAAGTGAAATATGCCCTAAATATATATATAAAGTCTCTAATGCTAGGAAAGGTGGAAGGAAAGAGAAGAAGATGACAACCAACAGCAGTGCTGGATTTAGACTTGGTGAGCTGTATAAACCTTGGAAGCCCCTTATTAAAAAGTTCCACCAGAAGGTCTCACTAAGGTGCACACCAAAAGAGGACCTTCAGTCTCCACATGTATATGCCTTTTAACTATTTAATAGCAAAATATTTAAAGTGAAAAATACAAATTATTTTCAAATGAATACATTTACTGATTAAATATTTATCATTTGGCTGGCTTGATCTCTCTCATAGATTATAATATAGCATACCCTGGAAACAATACTTAAATCTAATTTTTAAAATAATTTTAAGATACATTAATATATATATACAAAATGCTGACAAAATAAGTAATCAGGATCACTTTTCTTAATACAACTAACAATGAACTTGTTTGCAAAAATCAGAAAACTGATATTCTGAAATTTTGTGAGGCCCTACGGATTATGAGGCCCTAACCTGTAGCTTGTTTAGTTTATGCCTTAATCCAGGCATATCCAGGATTCAGTTACAGTGACAACAAGTGCACTGTTGGAAGACTAGAAAGATCAGGTTAGGGATAGATGGTCATGGAGAAAATCTTTAGGACTTGGTTTTAGCCTCCTGATCACTTTTGTTGCCCTTCTTTGAACTTTTTTCAGTTTATCTGAGTCCTTTTTAAATTGTGCTGCCCAGGTGAGGTTTGACCAGAGCAAACTAAAGTGGAATTATAACTTCCTTTGATTTGGAAATTATACTTCTGTTAGTATAGTACAGATGCCTCTTCCCAATGCTAAAAACAACTGAGATCCATCCTTCTTTGTTGTGTCACCCTTCTCTTTAAAATGGAATTGTCTGGAGGTGGAGTCATGGCAGTTGACTTCTTTTTCTGGTAGAGATGTTTCGCTACTTGTCCAAGCAGCTTCTTCAATCTAAAAAAGTTGGTTAGGGGGACCCCATAAAAGTCTTCCATGGTGGCTGCGTTTCTCACTGACAGGGACAATAGGCAATGTGATTAGTAGAGTCTTTGAGATGTAGATGTCCACTCCTAATCCCTTACTCATCGCCAGGGGGATGTTAATTGTTGCCTTCCTGGTGAACTTTTGAACCGTTCTTAATTTTCTTGGGGACTGTTGAAAGGACAGCCTAGAAAATGGGG